CATGTGCACATGATCTTACCATTCTTAATCAGAGATGTAAAATTCTACAAAGGTCTCCCAGAACAGTTGTAAAGAAGAACACCACCAAGTTCAAGACATCATTGGAGGCATTGATTAAGGGTGTCACATAGTTTCTTTCGTAGTACTCAGCTATTACCTTGATCTATGGCTCTCTCTCTAACACACATACTTCCTATAAAGTGAAGTGGCAATACTCAAGTATGTTACAGGCCGGAATGGAATTATGGAATAGGCTTTGCTCACATGAAAACAATTTGCACACTGAATATACACAGGGGGAAGTGATGTTGCAGTGCCCAGTCCTCCCCCTTATCTATGCGCACCCAGATGATTGCTCTAATAGAGCTGTTGTGTATACCATTGTACAAGTGCTGGGTCTTTCCACAGAATCAGGAATCTTGGAAAAGCGGATTGCTCAAATTCATGGTGAGAGATTTCTCTGCTTACAGGCACACCCATGTGCAGGTAGCTTCTAACATCTGCTGATCCCATGGAGGGTGGAATCAGGGGCAGGTGGCATGGATACATGCGCACACTCCTCCTCCACAGATGGGGGGAAGGTTACAGTTGTCTTTGGGATAACTTTGAGAGCGATTTGGCCCATCCTCAGGGTCCATTGGGAGGGGCTGTAGCTCAGTGGAAGGACACATACGTGACATACAGATTCGGTTCCCAGCATCTCCAGGTGTGATCGGAAAAAGTGCTGCTGGAAAACCTGGAGAGTTGCCCAGTCTGTGTCAAGCACACACATGGACCAATGGTCTGATTCATAGGAGGCCACCTCCGATGTTCCTGCTGACTGATGCCCACAGTGGCTGCCTTGTCTGACTGCTTATACCAAAATAAGACTTGCAACATTTCTGATTGGATGTTTTATCTGTTAGTTCCTGGATAGACACTGTTTCTGTGTAGGTAAATGGGCTGTATTTATGAAGTGCTCCTCAGCTAAATCCACCGAAATCATCTAAAGCTACCCAATTCTCCTTCCAGCTCACAGCTGTTTTCCCTTTCTCCAGGATAAGGGTTGCCGCAGGCACTTGAAAAACCCACAGCTTCTTAAACCTTGACTCATAGGCAGAGTCATAACAGGAGTTAGCACTGAACAAGCACCAACAATGAAGGCAAATACCTGAAAGATGCATCCAGAAGGTAAGAACAAAATAGCCCTGGAGCCAAGCCCCACCCAGTCTTTGGCTCTCAGTGGCATCCCAGCCTCACTGTTTTCAGTTGTCTTGCCCCATCCTCTGCTCAGGATTGATCTTCAGGAGCCAGGAGATCCATTATAGTAGGGGTGCAAACATATAGATATATGGAATGTAGGAAACTGCTTTATACTCAATCAGACCATAGGTCCATCTAGCCAGGGCTCTGACTGGCAGCAGTGATCCAAGGTGCAGGCAGATGTTGAACTTCTTTTAGCCCAAATCCCAGTTTCTATTTTGGAGAACCTCCTGGAGGCGGCATCCCAGTGATGTTTGCAGCTCAAACATGAAGGAGCCAAAATAGCTGCTATCCCAGCATGTTTTAGGTTAAAGGTCTTCCTGCCACAAGTCACTTCCCAACTGCAGGGGCATTGACCAAAAAATAATTCTCCCTTGGCAGAATTGGCAGTTGATGCAGAAACAAAGACAGGAAAATGCCTATCACATCCAAGATACTTCTGCTCTGATTGTGTTTTGCTTTTTTCAATAGCAATTGCTGCTCTGCCATCACATGTTAATAAATACAACATAGTATCCACTCTCTGTGTTTGTGACCAAGCATTGTATGCATAGTGTTACAATTCCAGAAGAAGGAGCTTTGCTGTTTGTGTTTCTAGCACAAGCAGGTGGCGCAACTCAGAATATACTGCTGCAGTTATAAGAGAAATGGGAGGTCAGGTTTTGGTTTGGTCCAGTCTGGCAAGGCAAGGCAAGGCTGGTAAATGTACAATTGTGCAGGTTATTAAAAGATTAGGTGCTTATTCACAGTTGTACTGTTACATAGGTGCACACTGAAAATTAACTTTCTTTCCACCCTAAGAAAGATATGGCTGACCAATCACTCCATTGAAGGAAAGGAAATAGAGGAACAAACATGGATACCTGCCCAAACATCTGTGCCCCTGCCTGAAGTCAAAATGAAGGTGAGGAAAAATGTTGCTAAGAGCTTTTATGGCATTGATACTGTTCCCAGGAGTAGGAGTTAAAATGTCATTATATTGAAGACACATAACCCACGGAAATTGCACATAAAAACTGAGGAGAAAGTCATGAAAATTGGTCTTGGAAAAAAAGCAGAATGTTGAGGGAGAACTAATGTCAGAACAATGGCTTAGGGAAGGTGCCATTTCCACACAGGTGGACCACAGGTTGCCATGTAGGGGCGAAATCCTGTTGTGAATTATCCCTAAGAGTCTGTGACCCATTAACACCTATGTTTCCTTTAAAGGTTACCTAAGCAGATTTTTAAAAATCCTTAAATGCCTTTGAATGAATTACTGCTAAATAAGAACAGGGCATTATCCTTGCTGAAGAGTACTACTAATGAAGAAAGAAGGACCAAAACAAATATCCAGCCAAACAAGATATGAGAGATTACCTGCATCACAAGTGGCAAGGTAAACTTATGATTGCATCTCAATAAGTTTTTCAAATAGAAATAATTATTAATAAACAAGTGGTACAATATACTTAAAGTAAGGGATTTCTTTCAAGATCAAGGAAGAAAGAAGCCCAAGA